GGGTGATGGAAAAAGAGGGCATTGAATTTTTAAAGTATTTATTATTATTATTTATATATAAAGTATTTTTAAAATGAAAAGTTGAATATTCTGCCAAAACTGGTGATTTTGAGTAGGCTAAATTCTGATTCAGTTAGGGCCCTAAAAAAATTTATAAAACACACAAACAATTATTTTTTTTCTCTCTTTTTTTAAGCAGAAAGGAAATTACAAACAATACACATGTCCAACAGTTAAGTAACAAGACTAAGGGTCTGCAGCCGGCTCTGTGAGGCTGTACTGTCAGCCTGCTATCACTATAACAATACCATTCTGAGGTTTAGCAGGTATAATCACCATCTTTGTGCTGCACGTTATTAGAAGTGAGGCTGATAGGAATGTAATTAGTTTTGTGGGTATTTGGTCATAAACCAAATACATTTTGACCTGATTATGACGTCAGAGGATCAACAAAGTGATTACAGTTCATTCTGAAGGAAACATGAATGTCTGAACCAAATCCCTCCAATGGTTGTTGAAATAATGGTTGAAACATTAGTTATTGACACTGCCACCCCTAGAGCTATTATATTATAGTGTGTGAACAATACACTGTTCCCATAAGTACTGTCAATCACCCAATAGGGTCTCAGCACTGAGGAACCATTTAGCTCATTCTAAAGAAAATCTCAAGTGAGCGGCTGCAATATCTGACACAGCGCTGCATCACCAGCTGTTGCAGAACTCTACTATCAAGTGACTCATTTGAAAGTATTCTCACCGTGAGGAAGGGGTGCCGCGTGTTTTGTAACACTCTGCTCTCCGTAACTGTGTGGGCCACCTCATCCTGCCAACAAACACATTACTGTCAGAAATAATGAAAACATGAAATACAGAAAAGGGGCAAGAGGCATCAAGATGGCAACCAACTGGTTTGACATCTTTGTTGCAGATAAAGAATGAGCTGGTTACATCTACAGATGCAGATGGTCGCCATTCCATGAAGTCTGTCATGTTGAACCGCCATGTTTCTACCAAACACTGGTTCTAGATAGGGCTGTAAGTGTTTGTTGCATGTTTTGCGGCCACCGTAGCTCCTTCTTTTGTGCTTGGCAGGGAAGGGTGAAGCAAGGGAGTTGCAACTAAACCGCTACACTGAATTTAAAGCTTTTGTTGAGAAGAAAGATTTGTTTGCCATGCGTCCGACAGGATTAGGTAAGTTTAATTTACCAACTACAACACACATTTCTTTGCTTTGATTGTAGTTGTTGTAGTTGTAGGTCTATCCAATTGCGTCCAGAGGCTTTTTGGTCTGTGCCAGTTCATAATGCCCCTTGGAGAATAAAAATGAACTGACATGTTTGCAAAATGCAAATGCCAGGCTATTTCTTTCACAGTGTAAATTTAGTTAAAGCAGTGTGCTTTACAAATCTGCTTCTGAAGGCACGTACTTTAGACTGTGTCCCTGCTACCTTATTTTGCCTAGTAATGCAGCCAATTACATGACGTATGTGTTTTTATCTAAGTATAACAAAATTTTGTCTAAGTTTGTTTTTAAATTCCTCTTTGTAATATTGGCTATTAGAGACAGCAATAACATGATTAATTAAGTCTCACTCACCCCAACAATGTCAGCAAATGTTTAATTATTATTACAATATGGTTTAGTGAAGGCAACGAAAACTACTACTGTTAAGGTTAGAGAAAGAATGTGGTCATTGGAAAGAATAAAATACACTGTAAATGCCAATTTCCAGTCTGACATAATAATAACAAATTGCTCCTGATGCATAGCATCGGTGTGTAATGTGGTATGAATGAGTTAGTTTCTGATCTCAAATTGGGTTGCCACACTGAGTGAATGTGTTGTCGAAGGAGAATGTGGCACGTAGTGGTAAAAGTGCTTTGAGTGGTCGGGAAGACTAGAAAGGCGCTATAATCCAAGTAAAGGGTCCATTTACCATTTACCATCCAATACCTCACTGGTACTACGCCGACGCTCTGCTCCTCTCTAGTGTCCCTCCTTTTCACACACACTTTGAAAGGTATGGAGGCAGGAAGTGCCTTGCAGCAGAATGAGATGATGACTACTGTAGCTAAAACAAATTGTGTCTACATGCACACAAACACACACCTCTCACTTACCTTGGCTATGATGACCTCTTTGCGCAGTATTTTCATGGCATAATGCACTCCAGTGGACTTCTCTTTGACCAGAATCACCTTCCCAAACGTCCCCTTCCCAAGCAGCTTCAGGTACTCAAAGTCACTCATTGTCTGTAACGTACACAAGGCCGAGGTGTTAATTATGATTGTGGATTTTTTATTTGTATTGAATTTAAGCTTTAATTTAAGCTAAAAAACATAAATGTCAGACATCTGCAGACAGAGATTAGCTTTTTTTGCCAAAGTCATATGTTGTATACCTTCACAGGTTTAAGGAATGATATTCTTAATCTAATTAATTAGAGGCTTT